TACAGTAAGATCAATACCAACATCATCGCCAAAGATTTTGCGATATCAAAAAGGATTGGGAATAATGCCTTTTTCATGGCGTGGCCTAAATGGCTATAACTCATCATTACTCAATATAAAATGATTTAGGTTATGTTCACACTCCAGGCAAAAGTGGCCAAATCTTTTTTTATTGCCTATGTGACCCATCTTTGATTTTTTTTTTTTTTTTGACAGTCTAAATATCAAAACTCAGATATTTTCCTATTAGACCCAGGTCACTTTCATGTGCTACTTATGGATACAAATCCGATGTTTCCAAGAAGATTTCCGTCTGAAGTGTTCAGACGGCTGTTTAATACATCGTATTATTTTACATTATTAGTGTTTAGTATATATCTTAGATCCTTATATACTCTTTATTATTATACTTTACATTTTTGGAATTTACGGCTGTTACTGGGACCTTGAGTAAACAATTCCATTCCACCGCATGTACCACATGCGATGTGAATGACAATAAAGAACCTTGAACCTTCAATGCTCGTATCATTTCATCCAATTTTTACATCACTGAAGAAGGGAACAGATCGATCCCAATAATAATAAAATCAATACCAACATCAAACAGGTTAAAGAGTGGAACTCCAAACCCTCCATCTTTGATTCTAACAGATAAATACAAACGTCCAGCTGCTTTGTTTTATAAAACATTTAAAATGTTCATGTCCTGGATGACTGAGGATCTTCATCAACAACAATGTTGGTGCCAGATCGTATCAATGCTAATGTGATGGGATCAATATTTGAGTTTGTTTCTCTATTCCACTTTCAGTATGTAGCTCCCACTCCACCTCCAGAAATGCAATTCTGTACCGGAGCTATCAGGAAGATCAAATATAAGCACTGGACGAAACAAGAGTTACAGATAATAGTTTAGTCTGTTTCGATGGCACAACTTCACAATCGATACACACATAACATGTGTAGCGTCCATATTTAATGCAGCATGCTAAGTGAGACATTATGTCTTCTGCCCTTTAGGACCGTTCACACTACAGATGGTGGTCAAATTTAAATTACACGAAGAACAACGCAAAATAAATGATCTCAGAAAAAAACTGAATTGAGAATTAAAAACTGCAGTTTAAAAGTCGTGTATAAAAGGAGGAGGACGGTACGTGTCCTTTCAAGCGAACTAGAGATGTGCAACCTGCAGCTCTTTAGTCCCTCGGCAGCAGCTCTTTGGTAATAAATATTCTTTATATCCAAAACCACAAGAGAAAAGGTTAGTTTTAGCAGTTTTCCAGTTCAAGTCTTTGCAAATATGTGAATGATACTAATAACACAAGGAGTGTAATACCTTGATCATCAGGCTAGTAGTGCGTTAGCCTGTTAGCTGCATAAATTAATTCAACTTTCACGTATATCTTTTATTTTTCTTTTCTGAAATCCACCAGAAAACACATTTTTTTGCTGAGCACGACGCAGTGATGAGAAACAGAAACTGCAATGAGGTTACAAATTAGGAGTTCTGAAAAAATATGGAGAGTCAATTTCATAATAAGATTTAGAAGTCCATACTTTAGCTGCTTTATTTATAAAGCACTTGCTATAGGACCAAAGTGCTTACAGTCAATAAAAGCCAACAGCAGTCACAATACATAATAATGAAAATATTTAAAGGCAAACCAAAAAGACTTATATTAGAGTCATAAAAATCAACTAAAATAAAGTAAAATGAAGCTAAAACAGGGGAAATGTGCTCATCTTTTTTGTGCCAGTTGAAAGATGTGCGGCGGTGATTTGGACTTTCTGGAGGTGAGCAGCAGAGGAAGCACTGACCTCTATCTATATAAAGTGTATTCCATTCAGCTGAGAGGTTTTGAAGGAGTGGATTACTGTCTCAGTGTTTTTAAGAAGTGGCTTGACTTTAGCTAGCTGCCTTAACTGAAACAAGTTTGATTTAACCACTGCCCGGATTGGATTGTCAAATTTAAGATCATATTCACTTTGACCCCCCAGTTTGTGACCACTGGCTTCAATTGAGTCAGTGAATGCAGATCTGCATGTGGAGGGTCAGTGAATGTTCCAAAAAACCCTAATCTCTGTCTTCTTCTCATCCGATGCAAGAGTCTTTAAGTCCTCAAGACATTTAAGTAATGGTTCAGAGGAAAATGAGTCCTTCTTCTTAAGGGGGACATAAACCTGACAATCATCTGCAAACAAGTGAAAATAAATTATGTGCTTTCAAAAAAATGGACCCAAGCAGGAAAAAAAAAAAAAAAAAAAAGATAAGGGGCCCTAAAACTGAACCCTGTGGGACACCACATGCGAGAGGAGCAGAGGAGGACACATGTTCACCATAGGTGACAGAGAAATTGCTTGGATGTGATCTGAACCACTCCAGGGCTGTGCCTCTACACCCACAGCTCCAAACGAGGAAGTAAAACCTGGCGTCCGCAGCAGAAGAACAACAATCTCCAGAGGCTAAAAATATGTCATTAAAAACATTTAAAAGGCTTGGTTCGGTGCGGTGCAGTGATTTAAAACCAGACTGTGTTTGATAAAAGCGTGAATTATATTTGGAGTAAATGTGTTTATTTTTTTTAAATCAGTTGGTCACAGCTGAATATTCACCAAACTGAAGTATTTTGTAAACTCACAATATCTTTTCACAAATGACTCACAAACCCTTGGCTGTATTTCTTTTTCCTGTTTATATGAACACGGTCTCTTATTTTGTCCTAACATGCAAAAATACTAATAGATTATCATTTTATTACAGTTTTGTACTGTGATGTTGTAATAAACAGCTGCTGTTTGTGTTTACCCAACACTTAATGAGTTGTTTTAGAGCTCAAGCGAAGGGGGACAACAAAGACAAACTCTTCCTGACGACAGACCCTGTGCATGAATGAAACGTGTCCGTTGTACAAGACATGTGCTCCTGACTGTGGGCACAGGAAGAATGGGTGAGGGATGGAGGTGAGGTGGGACTGGAGGGGGTGGGGAGGGAGGGTGACATATTCTCATCCATCCCTTCTCCTCCTCCTCATCCACAGCTTCGACACCCCCAAGAAAACAAGAGGAAAACGCACGCACAGAAACATCAAAGGCACGAGTGACCCTGAATCTCTGCTGTCACGCAGAGTCTCACCGCAAAGCCCCCCCCCCCCCCCACACACACACACACACACACAGGTAGGCTCAGCTAATTGTGTCAACATCTCAAGGTCACACCTCGGCTGTGCTCAGATCAGATCAGGCCGGAGTTTCATTCCACATCTAGATAATAAATGTCCGCAGCGCGGCTCAGACAAAGAGAGGAGCCTGTCCCCCCCCTGTCCCCCCTGTCCCCCCCCGCGCTGCCTCATCCTCTCCCGGCTACAGGACTGAGCTCAGGCCCGGCTCACAAACATCTGGATGGGAGGAGCGGGAGGGAGGAGGGGGGGTGAGGGGCCCGCAGGAATGGACGCTCAGATTCCGTCAGTAGGAATCTTCCGGTGTGGATGATGGGATGATGATAAGGAGGAAGATGAGGAGGAAAGGTTGGTAGGACCCCCCCCCCCCCCCCCTGAGTAATGTCTTACCTTCTGACAGCTCCAGCTCCAGCTCCGCCAGCCGGGCTCGGATCTCCAGCGGTATCGGCGACGCCTCTCGGTCCGCCATTCGGGATGTAGAAAGCACTCCCCCCGTCCAAAGCGCTGCCTTCTCCTCCTTCTCCTCCTCCTCCACCGCCGCTTGTCCTCCTCCAGCTGCTGCGCTCCGGCAGGGAGAGCTGCTCCTCGGCGGAGGCGCGTAAAGACGGCGAGGAGAACAAAGACGATAAATCTGGATAAATGTGTCAGCGGGGGCCCGCCATGGCGCCGGGCTCCAAGGATCGATGAAGGCCCCCCCGGTGGCTCCGGTGGTCAGGTCGCTCCTCCGCCGCTGCAGAGCTTCGTGGCGGCGTTTGTGATGAGGATGATGAGGCTCGCGCAGCCCTGGACCCAGAACCCTTTGAAGCTCCTGCTGGTGTCACGTGACGCTACGGGGTGCGCTCCCGTTGAGCACCGGCAGGGGGCGTCGCGAACAACCACACCCACATACTGCTTTAATTACACCTGACAGAACTGTTGGACATTTATTTATTTATTTATTTATTTAACTGTTTGAAGAAGTGTGGTTCCCCATCCAGCAGCTCTTAGTAATTAAATATAAATAGCTCTTATTGATATCCAGAACCAGAAGAGAAAAGGCTATAATATTTTTGTAAAACCTTGAATGAGCCTAAATATTGAAGGAGGGGGCTCTACAGGACAGAAGGAAGTGAATCACATCACCAGCTGGCAGGATGGAAACACTGCAGCTGTTCACATGACTCCAGCTGAAAATACTGCAGATCAGATCAGTGTGAGCTTATCATCTGCATCTAATGCCTCTATTTATTATTATTGTCTGAAATATTTATGAATCAACTACTGTGATCCATTTTTCTTCCGTGTAGGAGTTGTGGTTTTGTCCTTGGTGTTGTGTTCATTTCTGTGTTCCCCTGATCCTCTGTTTATGCCTCTATAGGGTTTGTGTTTCTTTGATGTCTAGCTCCATCTTGTGTCGTGTCAATGTCCTGCGTCTTCCGTCTCTGTCTCTGGCATCTGTGATCACTCACAGGTGCATTCACTTTGTCTGACTGGTGTTTCCTGTATATAAGTCTGTGTCTCTGTGTTAGTATTTGTCCTGGCATTGTCTACTGTTCACTGGCGATGATCTGTCTATTGTGTGAGTACCTCCTGTTCATTCTTGTAGTGATGGCGAGATGAAGCTTCATGAAGCACTGAGGCTTTCCATTAAATAGCACGATTCATGATCCGACGCGCCATGGTGCTTCATTTGCTCTACTGCGCCATCAAGTGGACTATAAATGTAGAACAGGGAGAGGGATTATAATAACATAACTGGTTTATCTATTAATTCTCAGTCAGGTCATCTGGCCAATTCCTTTTTTCCTTTTTTTTATTTTTTATTTTTAGTGAAGCTTTAAGTTGAATAAAAGAATAAAAGAAATCATGTTTGTGAGGACCTCAAATAAAGTCTAAATTTGATCTGCAAGTGATCTTAATCTGTCTCTATGATGAATGTGATGATGGATTTTTCTATCTGACCCTTATATTTCAAATCGTGCGTGTACAAACGAGCCAGTTCCTTAATCGGTCACATGGTACGGTCCACTAGCGAGGCCTCGAACATCACTACTTGCATCATCAATACACGCCTCGATACACGCTCCACATAAATTCTCCTGGATTACTCGACACATGCTTTGAAGCCTCGACACAGAAGGACACATCACTACATGTTTGTTTTTGCTGCCCCATCAGCTCTTTTGTTTTGTTAATACATTATTTATTATATATATATATACTGAGTCCTCGCCTGCTTGCCTGCACAATTGGGTTCACCAGCACCAATTGTGACAGAATGCCAGGACCAGCCATGAACCCAGCAGTAGTGATGAGCAAATGAAGCTTTTATGAAGCACTGAACCAGTTGGGCCAAATGTTTCAAAAATAGGTTCATTTGTTGAAGTTTCAGTTGCAGTGACCTCTTGTGGCATTTTGCAATGCTGTTGTCAAATTAGGCGTTATGCTTTTGGTGGCACACACCAAAAAACTTCAATAACTAGTGTTAAAGAAACTCCTTTACTGTGTTTAAAAAAAAAAAAAGCTTTTTTTTTTAAATTCATCAACTTTCTATGTTGTCTGGTTTGAAAATGTATTTATGCTTACACGTTTTCAAATAAAGACTGATAAATGTGCATTAATAAAAATGTTGCAATGGTATTGTGCTTGTGTAACTGTGGCAGAGTCAGAGTTTTTATCATTCTTAAAAATAACAATGAAATGACAGACAAAAATCCTGTGAAAAACGGTGCAAAGATTAGGTAGCATTAAAGAAATGTATTGGGGAACATCACGTTTTCAACTGTTTTTGGACTTAGACTGTTTCTTTTTTTTGTGCTTACAACCTCTCCACACTTAGAAAAAACTCGCTCACAAAGAACAGATGAGGCTAACATGCATACAAATTGTTTCCCTAATGTAAATAGATGTGGGTACACATTTTGGTGGTTCAGCCAGTACACCAGTGGGTCTTCCAATCTGTCCAGTGGTGGATCTGTCATGTATTGCTGCACCTCTACTGTAGCATGCTGTGGCATTTCTTGTCCTTCTTGCTACAGATGCATCCCTATCCAAAGTTTCCCAGAGGTTTATATCTGAAAATAGAAACATAGCAATAATGATAACTGAAACATTCAATTTTTGCTAAAAAACATGTATAGTGACACTAATGATCGACCAAACTTTGTTGAATTACATTAAACAAATAATAACATGTGGAAGAAGGATTTGGTAAATTTGCTGGTGCTGGTTGTGATGTGGAGCGCTCTTCTCTAGGTGTCTCAGCTGGTGCGTGTCTGATCAACTGTGCGCTCAGTGCTGGGAGTCTATTTACAGCAGCTTGTGAATGTGCTTGATTTTAAAATTCTAATCTTTTAAATCTAGGGTCCAGAAGTGTAGAAAGTGTCAATGATGTCTGGCTCTCAATAGTGTCAAACTTGTTTTGCATTGCTGTTAATAAATTCTGTCCCAGTTGCTTAGCAGTGTTGTGTGTTACTGTTCCAATTGTTTTGAACAAGTATCATTAACGTCTTGGTCACTGGGATAACCTTTGACCCTGAGACTTCTTTCTCCTCTGAAAGTTCCACTGCAGCCTGGTAAAAGAGAGCTAGTAACTGCAGCAGCTGTTTCATAGTCCTCAGAGGACAGAGGTTTTATGTCCGTTTTTAATGCTGCAATAGCAGCCCCCTCTGACTGTCTTGGAAAAGGCATTGTAGCATGAAAAATGCCATAGTACGGTGGCCCTAAGGTGTAAATGAACATTTGAAAAAACTGAATTAGATTTGAAAAAACGGAATTATATATATATAGTGTGTGTGTGTGTAATCCCCCACCCACCCACTGTAAATATATATTGCTGTATATATGTTAATTGATGTGATTAATCAAAATCAGTTAAATGAAACCATTAGTACTTTCTTATTCCGAAAATCCACACGTCACATCTACATTTCAGGATCTGGTTATTATAGACACAGATTAAATGTTCAATATGAATATTTCAAAATTTATCACCACAGTAAAAGTGTTACACATGTTAGTAGTTGTAAACCCTCAAAAGAATACATACGTTGGTTTAGTACTTACCTATAACCTAATTATTTAAGGAGTAAACATTTTTAATAATCACGTTAAAAGTTAAAAATGTTGTTTTTAGTGCCTGTTCGATTTCCAAATATTAGTGTTTGTGAATGACAGGCATCAAATTAAAATACTTTGTCGAACTGTGCTTTGTGAAGTTCAGTCCATTTAACAACAAAGTCCATGCTCAATAATCCAGGTATACAATCCAACCTTTTTCAGTCAGGTCATCTGGACAGTTTCTTTCTTCTTTTTTTTGTTGTGCTGAAACGTTTCGCCTTCGATCCGGAAGACTTCATCAGTCAAGGAAACACACAACACAAAACTGATTCTTCCCCCAACAGTTTACTCCAAACTGGAACACACCAGTTATGTTGGTGCTAAGATGGTCTCATTGTCACGCCCCCTCCTCCATTGCCGGCCCTCTTCCTTGTTGACAGTCGTGTCAAACTGATGCTCAATTTGACTGATGAAGCCTTCTGGATCGAAGGCGAAATGTTTCAGCACAAAAACAACAACAACAACAACAAAAAGAAACTGTCCAGATGACAGTCAGAGCTTCCCATGGGCTCACCCCCTGTGGGAGGGGCCAAAGAGGTCAGGTGCAATGTGGGATGGGTGGTGGCTGAGGGCGGGGACCCTGGCTGTCTGATCCTCGGCTACAGAAGCTGGCTATTGGAACGTGGAATGTCACCTCACTGGTGGGGAAGGAGCCTGAGCTAGTGTGTGAGGTTGAGAGGTTCCGGCTAGAAATAGTCGGACTCACCTCTACGCATGACTCTGGCTCTGGAACCAGTTTCCTTGAGAGGGGTTGGACACTCTTCCACTCTGGGGTTGGCCCTGGTGAGAGGCACCAAGCAGGAGTGGGCATACTTATTGCCCCCATTTTGGTGATTGTGTGTTAGGGTTCACCCTGATGAATGAGAGGGTGGCCTCCCTCCACCTATGTGTGGGGGGACAGGTTCTGACTGTTGTTTGTGCTTATGCACCAAACGGCAGTTCAGAATATCCACCCTTTTTGGAGTCCTTGGAGGGGGTACTGGAAAGTGCACCCCCTGGGGACTCCCTTGTTCTGCTGGGGGACTTCAATGCTCACGTGGGCAATGACAGTGAGACCTGGAGGGGTGTGGTTGAGAGGAACAGCCCCATCTGATCTGAACCCGAGTGATGTTTTGTTGTTGGACTTCTGTGCTCGTCATGGATTGTCCATAACGAACACCATGTTCAAGCATAAGGGTTTCCATATGTGCTCTTGGCACCAGGACACCCTAGGCCGCAGTTCGATGATCGACTTTGTCATCATCTCATCTGATATGCGGTCATATGTCTTGGACACTCGAGTGAAGAGGGGGCAGAGCTGTTCACTGATCACTACCTGGTGGTGAGTTGGCTCCGATGGTTGGAGAGGATGCTGGTCAGACCTGGCAGGCCCAAACATATTGTGAGGGTTTGCTGCGAACGTCTGGCAGAGTCTCCTGTGAGACGG